TCTCTGGGCAGGAGGTGTCCTAAAAATTATATAAACACATGTATTTTAAGAATATATGTTATAAATGCATATAATGTTTATACACATGCAAATGGAAAATATGAATGTATGAAAAATAATGCATGGATAGTCCTTGGATAAAGACACCTGCTTACCTTGTGTCTCTACAACCCCCAAATATCCTAGGAATCCTTATACTTTTCATTTAAGTAATCACTTGCTGTGTGCTTTACTCTAATAGATGATAACTATTGTTTGCATTTGTTTTTTGAAGGACTTGGTGAAAGCTTCAACTATATTAACAAATATTTAGGAAATGTGTTGGTGTTTTCTCCAGTGGAGAAAAGTGGGTTTGTTGAGAAGGTTTTAAAGAAATATATTTTTAGAATTCTAATTTTAAAGTGATTTGGAGTAGATTCTCAAAGCCAAAAAGGACCTGGGAGAATCTAGGTAGAAAAATAAATGAGGAGTTAATTCAGTAGACAACTTTGGAGGGAAAGACATGAAAGAAGATCTTAGGAAAATTTTCATGAAATATAAAAGGATTCTTAAGATACTTAGATACTTAAAATTGCTTGCATTATGTTATTTTGTTAGTGGAAATTATTTGTGTCATTTATAAAAACATAACTGCACATTTAAAAAACTAGGAAATCAAGATCCTTATCCATTTAAAAATCTTCCCTTTGAAAAGTTTTAGTGGATTTTGAGCCCATTTGTTAAAAATATTTTTTAAAGTAACATCTTCCAATTATTTTATATTTTTTCATTAAAGTATAATTGACACACAATGTTACATTAGTTTCAGGTGTACAACATGGTGATTCAAAAAGTCTATACCTTCTGCTATGCTTACAAGTGTAGCCGTCATCTGTCAGCATATAATGCCTTTATAATACCATTGACCATATTCCCTATGCTGTACCTTTTATTTACCCCCATGACTTACTCATTTCATAACTGAAAACCTGTATCTCCCACTCCCCTTCACTCATTTTGCCCATCTTCCCACCCCGCCCCCAATTATTTTATAAGAACAACTAACTAACATCATGAAAGATGGACATTACTAACCCCATTTCAAAAAGTCATTTGCGTATTTGGTGGATGAAATTGAAAAATGAATGCTATGTAAGTGATTTTTAAGTCTAGCTATTGTACTTCTTTCATTTCAGTGTATTTATTTTTTAAAACTACCTTTTACTTTTTAATTACTGTATCACAAAATATCAAACCCAGATTTTCTAAAATAATGCATATTCAATCATGTGCATAAAATATTGGTGAGAAATATATTTTTGCACAATTACTAAAATAAAAGCTATTTTAAGTATTATGTTGTCTTTATCTCATCTTTTAAAATTTCTTGTGTGACATGCTGAATGTGTTTTAGCATAACTTTCAGAATTTGCTTTACTGATAGAAATGTCTGATAACATTCAGAAATTGCTTTACTGATACAGATGTATAATCAGAATTTTGGAGATCACTCTTACAGAGGAAGAGACATATAAGCAAGTAAATTTCAGTAAAATATGAAAAGTGCTATCTCAAAGGAATACACACAGGGAACAAATTGCCTGGAGGAGTTACAGGAGACTTTAATAAGATGTCCTAATGCTGTGTCTCATTAAGTATAGATAGGAATTTCTTAGGTGGTTATATCAGATTCTTTAATAAACCAAAGAAAAATGTGACATTTCTCAAATGATTTTATATTGCTGAGGTCTGCCTAATTCAGTGATTCATGTTTCCATCAATAAATGTAAAGAAAAGAAAAAATCTATTGTAATAGAGGAGTATGGGACTCTAAGTAGGTGTATAAAATGGTGGCTTGTCTAAACTTACTTCCTCTTAGCTCTGTTACTCTCCCATTTTCCTCTTTTTTGGGTTCTCTAGTCTTGGGCAAGAGAAAAATATTGCTAAAAATCTCTGAGTGATGGTTTACATTCTGGTCAATGTAAAGAAAATGTTACATATTCATAAATACATATAATACCTGTAAAACAGTTTTCTTAAGATGGTCACACCTCTTTCATAGCACTAATCATGATATATTGAGGTACCATATTAGTTTGTCCATACCTCTGAGCTTATTGACATCAAGGGCATTTGTCATGCATTTTTTTCATTCCCATATTTTCCTGGCACATACTAGGCATTGTTATGTTTTTTTTTTAAATTTAAATTCACCTAATTAACATATAGTGTATTATTAGTTTCACAGATAAAGTTCAGTGAGTCATCAGTCTTATATAATACCCAGTGGTCATTACATCATGTGCCCTCCGTAATGTCCACCCAGTTACCCCATCCCCCCACCCCCACCCCAGCAACCCTCAGTTTGTTTCCTATGATTGAGAGTTTTTTATGGTTTATCTTCCTCTCTGATTTCATCCTGTCTTATTTTTCCCTCCCTTCCCCTATGATGCTCTGTTTTGTTTCTTATTCCACATATGTATAAGATTATATGATAATTGTCTTTCTCTGACTGACTTATTTTGCTTAGCATAACACCCTCTAGTTCCATCCATGTCGTTGCAAATGGCAAGACTTCGGGGGGTTTTTTTATGGCTGAATAATATTCCATTATATATATATTTATCCCACATCTTATTTATCCATTCATCTGTCGATGGATATCTGGGCTCTTTCCATAGCTTAGCTGTTGTGGACATTGGGGTGCAGGTGCCCCTTCGGATCACTACATTTGTATCTTTGGGGCAAATACCCAATAGTGCAATTGCTCGGTCGTAGGGTAGCTCTATTTTCAACTTTTTGAGGAATCTCCATACTGTTTTAGGCATTGGTATGTTTCTTAAACTGAATGATTAAAAATGAGACTTCATGACAATTTATTTAAACCTAATTCACATCAAGTTTACTTTCAAAACTATTTTGAAGATTATTGTGAAGGATGTGTAGGCTTACTACTAATAAAATACAATAAAATATAAATTGAAAATAGCCTGAAAAAGAGGAGGATGCAAAGATGCTAACTAGGAAGGTCATTGTATTTGTACTGTATTGTTGCATTAAAACCACCGTAAGACTTAGTGACAACAATGATTTATTATTTCTCACAAATCTGTGGGTTTGCTGGGCTTAGCTGGTGTATTTTCTTCTGGTTTTACTCTGTGTCATTCATGTGGCTGAAATAATTTGTCAGCTGAGGCTGGAGAATCTAAGATGGCCTCATTCAGGTGTCTGGGGCTTTGGTGCTGTCTGTTCTGCTAAGCTTTCTCTCCAAATGTTCTCTCTCCATTCCGTTATTTAGACTGGACTTCCTCTCATGATAATAGAAGTTTACCAAGAGAGTGAATGTAGAAGATGTGAGACCTTTTGAGAACTTAGCTTCAGAACTCATACACCATGATTTTTGCCCTTGTCAGAGTTACAAGTCTGACCCAGATGCAGAATTGGTGAAAATAGACTCCACCTTTTGACAGGAGGATTTATAAAGAATATGTGACTATATTTAACCTACTACAGTAGAATATGCATAGTTGTTGAGTATAAAATTTGTTCCTGAGTTGGCTGAAAATGAGGGGAAAATAAGACATTAAGGTTATCAAAATAAAGAACAAATACCAGAAAATTCAATTTGTAAAATCCCTTTATTTTTTAATAATACCTGAAATTTTAAAGAATGTGGAAAATGCAAATGAAAATAAAAAGGTTTTAAATTGAAATGTACTATAAATCTAATTATCCAGAAATAACTGTTATAAGTTATAAAACATTTCATCTTTCTTTGCCTATGTTACAGATAGAAGAATGGATGGATGCTTAATTGAGTGAAAGAAATAGCTATACAAAACCAAAATAGTACTATCAAGCTAATACAGAAGCATTTTATTTCATTTAAACAGAAAAAAGAAAAGTGAATGTCAGAGCATGTTATATGTTATGTGCTAAACAGAGATCTCTCTAAAGTTTAAAAATAAGGAAAATTATTAAGTTACAATCATATTTTTTACTATCTTTTTAAGCCTTGGGTTTGGTCAAACTCTGCTATGAAAGATAAGGATATTAGCACTACTGTATAACCTATTTTCTTCATACCATCAAATGTCCTGATTATTATATAATTATAAAAACAAAACCCTAGGGCACCTGGGTGGCTCAGTCAGTTAAGTGGCTGCCTTTAGCTCGGGACATGATCCCAGGGTCCTGGGATTGAGCCCCACCTCAGGCTCCCTGCTCAGCAGGGAGTCTGCTTCTCCCTCTCCCTCTGCCTGCCTCTCTGCCTACTTGTGCTCTCTGTCAAGAAAATAAATAAAATCTTAAAAAAAAAAAAAGCCCTAAATGAACCATATCTGGTCTTCAGACTGAACTTATTTCAGAAACCATTGCAGAGATGTAGAAAGAAAGATAAAGTTAGCCGAGACTGTATCAGATCTGGACAGACTTGAACAGAGAAAAATGGAGAAATAAAAAAAAGAGACAATTTTTTTTTTTTTAAGATTTTATTTATTTGAGAGAGAATGAGAGACAGAGAGCATGAGAGGGAGGAGGGTCAGAGGGAGAAGCAGACTCCCCGCCGAGCAGGGAGCCCGATGCAGGACGCGATCCCGGACTCCAGGATCATGACCTGAGCCGAAGGCAGTCGCTTAACCGACTGAGCCACCCAGGCGCCCCAAAAAGAGACAATTTATAATCTTTGTTGGAACGCTCTGCTTTTCCCTGAGATTTTATTAAATATCCAATATTAGACTTTTTTATAAGCTCATACATTATTGTATTTCCTGTGTTTCATTTATTTTTAAGAATTTGATACTTTCTTCCTCATTTTCTATACTGCATGACATAAATACCCCAAACTGCAGTGTGTTTTGATCAATAACAAACCGGTTCCATGAATTGCACTTCAAAATTTTTTTCTTGATTGCTGAAATGAATCTGCATTTCCTCACTGCATATAAGGTATTTGGGTATGTGGATGTCTTGAGCGGCTGGTAAGTTCTTCTGCATGTGACAGTGTTATTGTTTTCTTTCAGGAAACCCTGATAGATTGGTGCGATGAAAAGGAACTTAACTTGATATTAACAACTGGAGGAACAGGGTTTGCACCACGAGATGTCACTCCAGAGGTGAGATAGTATGTGCCTTTCTCATATTCAAGAAGTAGGTTATTCATATTATTTTTAGTCTTTTTTACTATGTTTTATATTTATAATTTTGCTAGGCAGAACAAGAGACTTGTGGTTCTAAGAATGTAAAAACTTTGCTCTGGAAGAATTGCTATATAAAAAATGTTTTTGACTTCTTTCTTTGGACTTATACAAACATGATATAAAATGAGGAAGATTCAACTGGTCCAGAAGGTAATTTTGCTTTTGTTCAGTAGTCTGTGATAGAAGCTGAACTTCAGGCACATTGCCAAAGGAGGTGATAGCAGAACTCTCTTAGCATGGCATCTGGTCTGATGTACTTTGTTAATGAAATTCAAAATGTATCTGATTTCTCTGTTTTGAGATACCCTTGTCATTGGTCTTAAAGCACAGGAAATTGCGATAGAATATGTATACCAAATTTATAGCACTTTTGGAGAGGAAGGGTTACATAGTCCATAATTCTAATGTGAATTTAAATGCAGAATTTAATAAGCCAAAAAACAGAATTAATATCCAGGCTTTATGCCACAAGAATCACCTTAAATCTTTGCATTAGGAGAAAAATTAGGGAGAGAATGAAGAGTAGGCAGTGATCAGTGATATAGGAGAGTCTTTTTTTTTTTTTTGAGGAAGCCATAATCCTCAGAGTCATATGCAAACTTATATTACCACTTGTGATATTGTTTCCTTTACCTCCCAAAAAAGTGTTTGCTGGCTGAATTTCAACTTAATGTTAAATATATCCTTCTATTTTCAAACCAATACATAATTGTACTTACTGTTTTATTAACACAAGATACTTCTGCTTTGCATCTATTAAATATTTACTGTCCATCTTACTCTATCATAGTAGTTCCCAAACTTTAGCCTGCACCACAGTCAAACTAAGGACTTGTTAAAACAGATTGTTGGATCCACCCACAGGGTTTCTGATTCAGTAAATCTGCAGTGGGTCCTAAGAATTTGTATTTCAAATAAGGCCCCACGTGATGCAGATGTTGCTGGCCCATAGACCATACTTTCAAACTTTGAAAACCACAGTTCTAGTATATGAAAATGGAATTTTTTTTAACCAATTGTAAAATATTTTCTGTTCTTCTGTGTAAAAATTGTGACAGAATTTTTTGGATATTATTAAAATTGGACTTAAAGTAGTTTGTTTTTAAAGCAATCAAAATAGAGTTGTATTGGGAAAGTGTTAACTTCAGTTGCTTAAAAAAGAAGTCGTTCTTACATAATAAGCTTCTGGGTGTTAAGGGGAAACGGTCCTTTGGCCAACTTTTACATTTCTTTTAGACTGTGAGATTAACTTAAAAAGTACAATTGGAGGGAAGCCATCTCCTGTAGGGGTGTGTTTGTGTTCTGTTTGTAAGAAAATTGCTTACATATGTGAAGACATTGATTTTTGGAGTTTGGTCCTTGTGTTAAGTATTTGAAGTAAATGACCTTGGCTTTATATGTCCCTATTTTTTCTGTGATGATTTAATATTTTCATATTATTTCTTTTTATATCAGGAAATAAGTTACTATGGAATTAATTTATAACCAGATAACATTATTTTTAACTGGGGGAGAATAATTCCCACAGAGAGTTAAGTATTTTGTATTCTGTGGTGCATCAAGTTAATACCAAAATGTTAGGTTGAAAATTTAAACCTTTGAATTTTGGCTCTGCTACTTATTAACAAGGTGACCATAGACTAATTATTGAATCCCTCTGTGCCTCAGTTTCCTATGAAATGAGGTAAACAAAAGTACCTATCTATAAGGGTAGCTGTGGGATTCAATGACAACTATTTCTGGCATTTTAGTAAGTGCTATATGCAAGGGTTAACTTAATAAGGGTTAAATTTTTTTTTATTAGTTGCTACATAAATACAAAGTGAACAAATTTGGTAGTATTTTTTTTTTGTATGTAACTACCAAATGGACAAAAACAGTCTTATAGTAGATTTAAAATATATCCATGAAATCTTTACAATCTTGTTATTTTTTAAATTTTGATGTAAGTTTCATATTTTATCTTTTTCGGCTTAATGTAATTCAGAGGTCTTAAAATTCTACCATTCTAATATCTGTTTATCCTATCCACTTTTTTTTAGTACCATTAGTTGATAAGAGTCTCTTTCCCTGACCATGTATGTTTCATTATATCAGAAATTAAGAAGCTTTTAATGAAGTCTTTCAGTTACCTTAAAACAGTAGAGGTGCTCTTAAATTCTTACATTTAAATATGCCTGTAGCAACTACCTGGGTAGAGTTGTATTTGGGTGTTTTCTTTAAATGAGTTTAAAATATACATAAATAGGTCTTTTTTAATATCTTTTTTTGGAGAATGGGTGACTTAACGATTGTAAATATCTTGATTTTTAGTAGGTTTGTTTTACTTCATATCTTTTATATAAATATGTAGGGTATGTTTATTTACAGCAAAAGTCCACAGGACTGTTAAGCCTTTGAAAAATAAGCAAACATAAAAGCAAAGTAGGGCCAACCAAAAATAATTCTACTGATTCCCCATCTTCTCTACACATTTAAATACTTGTCATTCTTCTACTATCCAAAATATAACACTGGGATGTCTGCTAGGAATCCAGAAATATAATTTGGGTTCTATTATAATACAGTTGTTTGTCTTAGATAGTTGTGCCTAAAAAGAGAAGAAACTATTTCTAGACTACATTTAACTATACATAACCTAGAGTTGCAAAAATTTTTAAATAGTCGAGTTATAAAAAACACAAATACTAAATATTAAGGTAAAATAATAAAAGACTTCTCCGTTAAGGTAATAATATTTTACAGTAAATAATTGACAATAATTAGTGTAATCTACAAACACAAAGGACAGTTGTTTGTGGAATGTGTGTGTTGTTAGAAAAAAAATGGAGGAAACAATAAATAGAATAAATGAAATAAAGCAATCTAAACTTAGTGTCAGTGGGTATGAACTCTAGAGAAAAGGAAAAGTTTAATGAACTTGGGTTTCTTCCCAGGTCTATTAAAAAGAAAAATGGAGTAGCAAATTCAGTAAAGTATATCTTGTTTCTTTTTTTCTTTTTAATAGGAATAAGGCAATCAGAATCAATTTCCCTAAATTATGAAATTGTTTCTATTTTTGGGCCCTGTGTCTTAGAATATAGTTCATCTGATATTTGCATGCCTGCTGGCCTGCTCCCTGCCTCTAAATATGAAATACTATCAAAGCTTATATATAATAGCATAATAATCTATTCCCTTCAACTTTTTAGAGTTTTATTTTGATATAAAAAGCTTTAAATTTTAAGAATAGATGTTATACGCAAACGATGAATCATGGAACACTATATCAAAAACTAATAATGTGATGTATGGTGATTAACATAACATAATAAAAAAAAAGAATAGATTTTATTTTCAGGGTTCCTGGCTGGTTCAGTCAGAGTAGTGTTTGTTTGACTCGGGTCATGAATTTGAGCCCCACATTGGGCATAGAGATTACTTAAATAATTTTTTTAAAAAAGAGTAGATTTTATTTTCTCTGATCTGACAAAGGTGGAATAATCTGTTGGCATTAGTGCTAGTAATTATAAAATTCTATAGAACATAAGAATTCATTGCTATACAAAACATTATCTCTTCATGTCTCATTATCAGTTAAAAACAGTATATGTCCAAAATAGGTATTGTTACATAAAGAATCTTATTATTCTTAAAAAGTAAAATTAGGGACTTATAAGTGAGGTGAAGTGAAAACCCTTTAGACGTAAATTCTAGAAGAGACTAAAATATCAAGAAGCATTAAAAAACGTATATATAGTTACAAAGAAATGTTTTATAATATGTTATGGTAAATTTGAAAATATTAAACTATTTGATATTTATAAGGTAAAAATAACTTTAAGCATTTTTAGATTATTAGGCTACATCAGAATAAAGGGTTGGATACTAATATCTTATTTTGATCATAAAGAGTTAAATAGAAGCCTACCATACATCTTAGTTCTCATCTATTTATTCATTCATCAAACTTTTTATTTTTAATCCTTAATATGTATCCCATGCATGCCATGCTGGGTGCTGGAGTTAAAAAATTAATAAGACATGGTCCCTATTCTCAAGAAACTCTTAATTTGTTTTGGGAGTTGGCAAACAAGGCCTATAGTCCAAATCCAGCCTGTCTTTTTAGTTGGTGTTGGTGTGGCTTGTGAGCTAAGAATGGATTTTGTATTTTTTAAATGGCTGAAAAAAATCAAAAGGAGAATAATACTTTGTGGCACATAAACATTATTTGAAGTTTAAATTTCAGTGGCCATAAATAAGTTTTATTGGAACACAGCTACAGTCATTCATTTATGTAATGCCAGTGGCTACAACAGCAGAGTTAAATAGTTGTAACCAACACTTTTCCTTTTAAATGAATATCCCTTGTATCAAAATTTATAGTTTCCTAAAATTTTTGCTATTCCTCCTTTTGTTTGATTATTTTTATTCTGACAAATTATATCAGGACACTTTTGTTAGAAGATATTGCTAAGAACAACAGTTCAAAAGTTTTTTAAGAGTGAGATTTTACTTAATGCATAACAAAGCCATTAGTTTGATCAATTTTGAAAGTTAAAAATTTTAGAATGAGTGTCTTTTACTTTTGTTGTGCTGTATTGTCTATTGAGACAACATGGCAGTACACTTCATTATGGCAGAAAAGTGTTATTTCTTTGCTCCTTCTAAAATTAAGCATTTAAGAAATGAAACCCAACATCATTTCAGATTACTAAAGAAAAAAGGTAAAAATCCGTTTTTAAAAAGTCAGTAAAAAATGTGAGTAAAGATGACATTCTCATTCATCAGACCAGGAGTCGACAAACTTTTTCTGCAAAAGGTCAGATGGTAAATACTTTAGGCTTTGCAGGCTATAAAGTTTTGGTTGCAACTATTTAACTCTGCTGTTGTAGCCACAGGAGTAGGTTCATTATGGAAGTGAAGAGGCATCTGAC